AAAAAAAACAAAACAAGATCTGATTAGTTTCTGTGACAATTCTACATTCTAATGCTACTGCCTTTCTGTAGGGTGGGATATCCGTGTCATGGTCATTAGTGAAACATGGTACGTAAAACTGGATGATTCTTATTTTGGCACAAATAGTTTGTGTTTTTTAAATGAATAATTTTGATTCAAGAAAGTAAGTTTCTTTTCTTTATTTTAGTTGCTATGATGATAAAAGATGTAATATAATGATTTTCTCGCTGTTTTGAGGCCACACACAGGTTTTTGAGGTCCAGTTTGGGTGCAAACAATATTTTTTGGGTTTTGACAAGACCAGTAGATGATGGAAGTCAGTTGATGAAGGCTGCCAGTGGACTGAGTGGTAGGTCCTACTTCTTCTTCACAACTCACTGTCTGCTGTTTCTGTCTATCTCCTACTATCTGTTTGCCTTGCTCTTTCCCAGTACTAATTGTCTCATTGTTGTTTTGATTTGCTTCTCAGTATTCATACCTAATTTCATGGGATGTCTCTCATTTCTAGGAGGTGTGCAAATACTTTGCCTATGGGGAGTACACATCTGGCATGCCTGACCGACCGGAGGTGCCCTCTGGTGCTTCCTATGACTGGATCATGGGGATTCCACAAAAACCCAGCAGCAAAGCCAAAATCCACTGGTTTCTCTTCAGCAGCTCCAATGAACTTCAGTAAGAAATCTTTGAAAAGCACTAACTTTTCAGTATGAGTTTTCCCTTTCTTGAACTTGTAGACGCAAGAAAAAGCATGAGTGTTGATAATCTTTTCTCTTCTGCGCCCTGAACACATACACCTCAGCATTCAGGGGTGTAGTTGACCCAAAGGAGCCAAGGTGCATATGTCTTGTCAGCTCCACGTACAAAGGCGCAAAGGGTTTAGTTAGTCGCCTATTGTCTCACTGTATTTGAACTTTCAGGAGAGCATTTTAGTGTGCTGCATTCCTTGTACATCTTTTCAGTGTTGGTTTTAGCCTTGTCTGTTCAGGTCAGGCCATTATCGAGCTGAGTCATTGAAAACTATAACTACCCCCCCCCGGGGCGGTGCTACTGACTGAAGGGCCTTTAGGCCATTCCCAGAGGGGGGATATTAACCATGTTCTTATGCACAGTAGAATTGTATTTGTAAATGGGCTGATTCATCAATGTCATGCTCATAACTGTGCCTGGACTGCGACAGGGAATTACTGCTTTTTCTTTCCTAATCATTACTACCGTCATTTTTCCTCTACTTCTTTATATATGTTTGTCATACTCGTGTAACCCGCTATTTCCGGGGTTCCTTGATAGTCGAAGCTGACTTTGTGCTGTTGAAGCTAGAGAGGGGAGCAGAGTAAGCTTGATTCCCTGTAACAGCTTCTCTGTTGACATCCACCTTTTGGCGCTCATATGACCTAATGCATTTGCGAACGCTGTAAAAACGTCTATTAAAACAAAACTACATCTATAACTCAACAACAGCATCTTTTACTTATAGGGGTTTACTTTTGTTACTTCGTCTTTTCTTTAATGACTAGGACTTTACAGTTATGAGTATTAGTTTTGTCTTTCATACATGAATTCCGTTTAGGCTGTGATAGATTTGATTTTGACAGAAGGGCAGAAGACTTAAACATTGCTACTAAAAGTGCACAGAGTGTAAAGAATATAATGTCTTTGCTTGTTTTATTTACAGTGAATGGATGACAGCCATATGCGGCACTGTGAGTACTGTTGTGAAAAGCACATATGGATATGCTAATATTTAAAGAAATGCAAAGGAGAATCTGAGTTCATGATATATAGTGGAATTAGATTCTTATACTGTAGATTATAGTAAGTGTTAGAGTGTCTCATAACTTTTCTGATACAAAACAATATTACATTTGGAAAATGGTTAATCTCTTTGTCTCTCTTTCCTTCTCTGTCTGTCTGTCTGTCTGTCTGTCTGTCTGTCTGTCTGTCTGTCTGTCTGTCTCTCTGTCTGTCTGTCTGTCTGTCTGTCTCTCTGTCTGTCTGTCTGTCTGTCTGTCTGTCTGTCTCTCTGTCTGTCTGTCTGTGTCATTTTCTTTCCTTCTCTCTCATATATATATATATATATGAGAAAAGTTTGAGGCATATATAACAGAATGTGCCGAGATCTGTTTATCAAAGAGTTTTCCATCCATGTTTGGCATGTCTGCTAGGTTACATATAATGTGAATGCTGTTGTTTTAGTTCGAGAATTGTGCACCTGTTGAAAGTGATGATGGAAATCAGGTTTTTTTTTTTTCTCATAATCCTTTAATCACAGTTGTATACTTACTTGTCCGAACTCCTTGTTTTGAAAATGATTTTCCCTTTGGTTACAAGCTTCCGCCCCCACCTCACAAAGAAGCCACAGCAGAACAGGCGCAACCGGTAAAGTCTGCTCCTCCTCCTCCTGGGCCACCCGCCGGACCGCCCGCGGGTCACTACGCTCCTCCAGCGGGACAGTACCCGCCACCAGCGGGACAGTACGGCCCACCGCCGCCCTACTATGGCCCACCCCCTCCTGGTGGCCCTGGCCCCTCGTTTGGATTTGAGAACCTCAATAGTAAGAAGCAGCGTTTGTCTGTCTGTTAGGTATTTTAGGAAGAGTTTTACGGCACTTGCATCACAATAATAAGTGGGCGGTTGGCAGGTGCTCTTGTGTGGTTTGCTTCTTCTTTCCTATCAAACATCTGTCGCTTTTATCTCCCCTCCTTCTTTTTTTGTGTTTGTTACTCTTTTGTAACACCTCTTGTCTTCGGCACTTATATGACCTTATTTTGTTGCAAGTGTCGTAAAACTCTCACTAAAACTAAAACTAAAGCACCACTATAAGGTCATGGAAGTGCCGAAAATTTGAGGTGTTTTTACCGAGTAACCAACAAAGAAAAAGAGGAGGAAAGGTTAGGGTGATCGATGTTCGATATAAGAAAGAAGGAGCAAACCTCACCAGAGCATCTGCCAACCACCCACATCTATTCCCCTGAAAACATTTCATATGAATTGTTGTGAGTAATAATACTGACAGCTAGAGTCCCAACCATGTGGCTTGACTTTGATGGTGGGCAGTGAGTCTTTCTTGTACATTTTTCTATTTTACTTTTATAGTGTTACTTTTGCTACAGTAGTCTCAGCCTAAACGCAGGCCATACAAAAGCACGCTTTGCTCAAACGCACGCTTTCGTCAAATGCACAGTCACTTTTTCTAAATGCACGCTTCAACCCGCGAAAGACGCCGACAGGATAAACTTGACAAGGGGAAATTTTTCGCTTCAGCCTACACAGCTTGCATAAGACAAGCCTAGACAACCGGGGGAGACTGCCCCTCATGCCGAACAAAGGGAGTGCTGGACAGAGTTTTCACATCCAGCCTTACAATGACATATAGATCTAAGATTGATCAGGTGATATGTTGGGGAGGGGGGACTGAAATGTCTTTTGATTGGTCACTTGAAATGCGTTTTTGAGAGAAGGTTTCTGACAGCTGTTGAAGAGAATGCATACGTAATCTTTAATTAAGCCTGTGATGTGTAACACGTGCGAATGCTGTAGAACATTAGATAGGCGTACTCTATGGGAATAAAGATTAGTCAAGTAATTAGCCACGCTTGAAGAACTTATACCGCACTTGTCCAACGAATCACAAGAGAAAAGTGTCTCAGAATATCTGATTGATATGATGCAATTACCGAGTTGCAATAGACAACAGGCAGTCGGGAGTGGTCGCTTGAAAAGCAGCGTGGCCGAGTATTTTTGTCTATACCATCACCAATAGTTTCCTCTTATCTTTTCCCAACATTTTATAGTGCATATCAGTGCAGTGAGTCTGTCTTTCTGCTTTTTCCCCTCACCCATTCAACGCCTTTGTATTCATAATTCATAACCGCAGTCGAGGAATCCTTCACAAAACAGGCACATGTCGTCACTTTTTTGGCCAAAGTGATCCCCCTTCCAAGGAAGTCACTAAAATATCAAGTAAATGAGATGATTGCATCCCTTCCTCCCTTTGCTGCACAGGTTCGTGTAAACGCAAGCTCCGTATAAACACATGCTAAGGAGCCCTCCTGAGCACCGTGCGTTTAGGCAGAGACTACTGTATTACTGTTTTATGTGAGTATTTGAAAACCCTGAAAAGAATTAGATTACAATTTTATGCCTCTGAACTCAGCAAGTTCCTCTTAACTACCAAAACAACAAGCCACCTGTCACCTATCACTGTGGCTGTGTTCATCCGTTGAACAGAACATCCCAACAGGCCTCCATCTTCCCTGGTCTCTGCTTTGATATATTATTGCATAAAGTTGTAGACCACTATTGGATTTTAGGTTTCCAATGTATGATGATGCAGGAGGTCTTTTCTTATTTCTCCTTGCTTTTATTTTACTCTGCAGTACAGTTTTCGTCAGGTCTGTTTTTATATTTCAATTTGTGAGACCGAGGTACTTCAGTCTCCTTGTGTTGATCTCAGGCAGCAGACTACGCCGCGTGTAAAGTTCTTTCACTTTTATTTGTTCTTATTTTGCTCTTTCTTTCCTGTCAAACATCTATGTTTCCTTATCTCTCCTCCTTCTTTTTTGTGTTTGTTTCGCCTCTTGTAACGCCTCTAATCCTCAGCACTTGTACGACCTAGTTGTGTTGTAAGTGCCATAAAACACTACTACAGTGGGTGGTTGGCGGGTGCTCTGGTGTGGTTTGCTTCTTCTTTCCTGTAGAACATCTATCGTCCTTATCTCCCCTTCTTCTTTTTTATGTTTGTTACTCTTTTGTAACACCTCTAATCTTCTGGCGCTCATATGACCTTATACAGTTGCCAGCGCCATAAAACCTCTACTAAAACTAAACAGTACAACAAACTAAGCCGGAGTAGTCTTTGTGGATTCTTCTCTCACTGTCCGGTATATGTTTGTCCTCAGTGGGTGGAGCCGCCCCACCATACCCCCAGCAGCCACAGTACAGACCCCCTCCTGTCCAGGGCCACTACCCACCACCAGGGCCGTACCCGACCCAGGGCCACTACCCACCTCCCCCCGCCGGCCACTACGGACCCCCGCCACCTCAGGGTAAGCAGTGTCTCTCTCTCTCTCTCTCTCTCTTTCTCTCTCTCTCTCTCTCTCTCTCTCTCTCTCTCTCTCTCCCTCCCTCTCTCCCTCCCTCCCTCTCTCCCTCCCTCCCTCCCTCCCTCCCTCCCTCCCTCCCTCTCTCTCTCTCTCTCTCTCTCTCTCTCTCTCTCTCTCTCTCTCTCGTGCTGTGGCGTCATAAACGGTCAGCGATGCCGACAGCAGGCAGGAACTCAACACTTGCCCGGGGTTCCTTAAAAAGAGCTGAAAGTGGGTTACTGAAATGTCCAAGCAGACGGGTAGGGTAAGCAGTCTGAAGGCAAAGGGTAGCACAGTAGTGGGCTGTGTTCCATCGTTATGTACTCTACCGTGTTTGAACGTGGGTAGTTGGCGGGTGCTCTGATGTGGTTTGCTTCTTCTTTCCTATCAAACATCTATCGTCCTTATCTCCCCCTTCCTCTTTTTTATGTTTGTTACTCTCTTGTAACAGCTCTAATCTTCTGGTGCTCATGTGACCTTATGCAGTTGCGAGTGCCGTAAAACCTCTACTAAAAAAAAAGTGTTTGAACGTTATTGGTCTACATTTTGTGCCCTGTGAGGAAGGCGTATTTGGCTAATTAGACTGGAATATGCTGGAAAGTGCAGATGAGTTCCAAGAAATGATTGATGTTCTACGTTTTTTTGTGTCATATTGTGCCTTTTTCAGATGTTGCATATTATATTGCCTTTGCTGCTACCTCCTTTACTTCGTCTTGAGATTGGTCTTGGTTTCCATCTTCCTTTTAACTTTATCTGTACCTCGAATTTTACTTTGTTTCCATACGACGTGGGAAACTCTGTGCCACCACTTTCCAAAGAGGAAATTTACACATTAATCCGATTTGTACGCCTTGCATAGCTGTCTGTAAAAATGATTTTTTGAAAAATACTGAAAGTTTCAAAGAGATCTTCGCCCTAGAAGTATTCTAAAATGTGAAGAATACAACCCCGGGGGTACAAAATGACCCCAGGGTGTATGGATAAGGTTAATGATCCTTTGCTATCTCTTCATTGGGAGTGACTCCAAAATGGGATTTATTTTTCCCCATTGTGAATTTGTATTAAAAATTCTCTGATATCACAGAATCTTACCTCTGACTCTTAGAAGGGTTAAAAAACCTTTATTATGATAGACATAAATAACTAGTTGTGATAAGTTTATGTTAAATGAACTCCACTCTATCTTCATTCTGTTTTGTTTGGAAAAAAAACAAACAAACAATATAAACCAACTGTGACCTGTTTCATTGAACCACACACTGTTGTTTTGCAATAAAAAAAAAAAAAAAGAGAATGGACCCTGTAATTTTTGTTTCTATGTCCTTCTGTTTGATTTATTTCATCTATGTTTATAAACCCCTCTCTTTCCTTCACTGTCTAGGTGGGTACCCCCAGCAGCCTTACTACTCAGCTGCTCCTGCACCTTCAGGTAAGTTGTCAAGGAAGTCTGTTCATAATTACTACCTGGAGGATTTTTTATGCTGTTGTTTAATCTTTGGTTTTGTATTTATTTTGATTTCTTTCATTTTGACTCTTGTAAATGCATTGAGCAGTTGTTTCAAAAAGTACCTTTATTTCTTTTTTCTCAGTGTTTATGTCGTATTCCTTAGCTTTCTTGTTGTTTTGTACTCTGGTATCAATTTGACATTATCAACATTTAGTTACTTTCGCACTAGTTAAAAGGGAATCATGAATTTAATACAGTTGACTGTAATTTTATTAAAATTGTGAAACTTCTAAAGATGATTTTGGAAGATGTGTGATGCAACCTTTATTCATATAAAAAGTTGTGTATTTTTAGGGTAAAGTTAACGAAGAAAGATTTAATTTTCTATTTAATTTCATATGCAATGCAATTTTTGTTCTCAAAAGAGGAGGTGATCGATAATTTATTCCTTACCTCTTTAGCACTTTTTTTTATTCTCAAAGTTCTCCAGAGGTTATAAATTTCAAAGATCTTGTTCTTCTTCTACTTTTACCACATTTTCTTCACCCCTTTGTGAGCACACTAATTATTCACCCTTTAGTGTAATTGATGGTTTCTATATGAATAATTTCCTTCTAGATAGCTTTTGTGCTGTTTTCAAAGTTAGTCACAATGATTCGTACTTCGAAAAAATTTCCAAAGTTGTGATTGGTCTCAATATTTTGTTTGAATAGCCAGCATGGGTGGGGCCTGTGTTTTTCTTTTTTTTACTCTTAACTCTTAAAATGCCTTCCCTGGGCATTACATAATGCTTCCTCTTTGTTTGAGAAGACTGTTCTATTGAACCCCTTTTTTTTTTGGTAAGTGTTTTACGGCGCTCACAACTGCATAAGGTCATATAAGCGCGCTGGACACATGAAACATTTTCAGTTGGTTGGAAATTTTGAATTTTGCCCGGGGTGGCGGCCGAAATCTTATCGATTTTAGACCACCAAGGGGTCTTTAATGTGCGCTACTTGCACACGGGCCCTCCGAGATTTTTCGCCCTTGTCCGAGAAGGCTAGGTGTAGATCTTTCCTACCAGAAGATCAGTGGTGTTGCAGAAAGACAGCAGTAAGAAGGAGCCAAGGAGTAGCAGTAGAAAGGCTGCCTAAATTTTTCGGTCGCTACCCGGATTCAAATCCGGGACCTTTGAATGAGAGGCCAACACACCTTAACCTCTAGGCCACGAGAGCCCCGTATTGAACCTTTGCTGTAGGCCCATGGGTAGGAAAATTAATAAAGTCTCATGTTCCAAATGTCAACATGAACAGGGATAGATAACTGTAATAAGCTAATTCCTTATTTGAAGGCTTAAATGAGACAGACAGCAACCCACAAAGATTATACACTCTTCCTTTCATTTAATCATTTAATTCTTACTGTGGCCCTTTCTAGCTCATTTTGGAGTATTACCTATTTTATCCAATCATTTCAATATCTTAATCTCTGTATTCTGCGTTCATCTCTTTCTGATAGTTTTTTTTTCCTTTTTTTCTTTATCTTTCTCTCGTTACCAGGCTATCCGCAGCAGCAGTATTATCATGCTCCTGCAGGTGAGTGCTATGTCTTTGATATCAATGAAACCTGTCAGAACTTTATGTGTTTATTATTTGCCTCTGCTGTATCTTTTGAAATGTGTTTCAATTCCATATCTCTCTCTCTCTCTGTGCTGGTTTTTTGTCTGTTTGTTAGAAGTAAATGTCAAAACATAAATGTGTGCTTTGAGTTTACCTTGACAGTTTATCTAATGAATTGTAAATAAATCCTAAAAAGATGTTTGCTGATTGATGTAACTAAATTTCATGCAGATTTAGATTAATTTGCCTAAGTTGGATTGAAAGACATTTTCATTTGTGGGTACTAAGCTGCAAACGAAAATCTGGATAGGAACTGATTTAGCCGCTGATCTGTTATCATGACTCCACCTCTCTCCAGGCACACATTATTCGGCTCCCCAGTACTATGTAGCAGGTACTGTCATGGTCTTTTGGCATATATCCTCTAAGCACAATGCATTGGAAACAGACACAGTAGTAACATGGTTAACCAGAGCATGCTTATATTAGGATAGAGCATGTTGCTTATGGAATCACTGTTGCTTACCTCTTCTTCCCCACACCCTGGGTGAAAAAAGTTGTAATGCTTCACACAAGTTTGAATATCAAAGGAATCATGCGCTATATTGAAATGTCTTACAAAGCTTATTTAGTTGAAAGATTTCTGTGCAATTCATTTCCCTTTGTATCTCTTCTGTCAGATGTACTGTCTTTTTTTTCTGAAAAGCATTTTTAGTTTGGTTTTGTGTGCAGCTTTTTTAAAGTTGATGGAATAGTTTTATACACTTCCATTTTTCCCTATCACTCCTTTCAAACATGGCCTGGGACTTTTCCGAACCTGCTGAGATCATCGAAGTGCCGTATGCCTGAAACTGCTCGAGGCGTAGTTCATTTCTGTTTCTATGTCTCTAGCTTTCAAATAGAGAAGATAATTCCTGAAACATTGCTCAATGTTTTGCCTGTGATTTCCGCTTTGTGTTTCATGCAATGTGGCTGTAAATAAATTAAACAAGTTATGAGCATAGCATGACATTTGTTACTTTCTGTCTAATACTCATTTTGTCTGGAACATGATAGTAGAATTATGTAGACCTGAAGGAGTTAATATGCTTACTGGTTGTCTTTTTTGTAACAGTAAACTTCTACTGGTTGTCTAGAATGTGAATGAATGCACCTTGCCCTATGACTTTAGCTTCATAATGTTAACTGCACTGATGCTATGAGGGTAGATGTCTGTGAATGGGTTACTACTGAGCCAATAATGACACTGGCTCTGGTCTACCAGCCATCCTTCAAATGGGAAGTACATTGGTGGTATAGTTACATTTTTAATCTTGACACTCAAGGCAATGGAATTATACTATTGTGTATTTATAGAAACTTTGCTAAACTTGTGATAGTGGTATTTGAAATTACTTCCAGTACTTACTTTACTTTTCCGATCCAGCGGCCATTTGGTCTGTCGATATGGCAAAGAATACTTCCAATAAGAATCTGAGCTTTCTTTTCCTGGGAAAACATTTTCAGCATTGCTATGGATTGACAAAAAATGATCCTCATGGTTTTGCTCTGTGATTAGTCTTTTTTATACAGGGGTCAATCTTTGCGTTCAAAGTACAGTATACCCACAAATGACCCCATCAGAGTGATCAGTATGTCATACCCAGTATTTAGGGAACATGATACGGCTTCTTCTATAGATGCTTGTATTTTTTGCTGCCGACATGTTGCAGAATAACTAAAATGATAATGTATTTAAAAGGCCTGAACATTCATGGACTGACCAAGCATTGTGGTAACTGTCGTGCTGTGCATGCTCTTGTTTATGATGACTGACTACATATGGTTTACTGGACACTTATATGTTTGAGTGGCTTTCGTGCCTTTAAAAAAAAAGGGTGTAAAACAACTGTAAATAATATACTTTGTTTCAACTGAGTGGTGTAGGTGAAAGAGAATGATGACTGTGCTATACTGATTCCAAAGTGAAACGTTAAATACCAATTTTATTTTTGGCAGAAAGCAATGTCAATGTTAAAGGAAGTATATTACAGTAAATGAGCAATAGTTGTTATGGATTCTATTGTAAGTGCCTTCAAATGGTTTATTATGTCATTTTGTCTGATATATGTGGTCCGTTGAGTATTCTGACATGGTCCTCTCCTTTTTCTGCTTTTCGGTGTCGTTATTGACAGTCTACCTTCAGCAAAATGTTGGTGTTGCCATGCTGAGGCACATTAACAACCACATAGTGGGTGGTTGGCTGGTGCTCTGGTGTGGATTGCTCCCTCTTTCCTGATATGTGCTTGGATATGCGCAGTATACATGCAATTATTATTATTGGGTTGTGACGTCCTTCAGAAACATTGCCACCCCCCGGGGCAGTGCCACTGACTGTAGTGTCTTTAGGCCATTCCCAAAGGGGGGACATTTCTCGTTCAAGCACAGTAGAATTGTAAATGGGCTGATTCATCATGTCACGCTCATAACTGTGCCTGATCTTTCCTTATCCTTACTATTGTCATTTTTCCTCTACTTCTTTTGTATGTTTGTCACTCTCTTGTGACCCGCTATTTCCGGGGTGCCCTGATAGTCAAAGCAGACTTCGTGCTGTTGAAGCTAAAGTGGTGAGCAAAATAAGACTGATTCCCTGTAAAGACTTCTCTGTTGACACACACCCCTTGGCGCTCATATGACCTTATGCAGTAGCGAGCGCTGTAAAACCCTCTACTATAAAAAAATAATAACTTTTCAAAACATTGCGCCCCCCCCCCATAGTGACTTGACGCTGAGTGAAAGCTGTTTCTCTCCTCAGGCGGGTACCCTCAACAAGCCTATGGCTACCAGCATCCACCAGTTATTGTGCAACAAAACCCTAAGAAGAAGAAAGGTGTTCTCAGCAGTAACACAGGCAAGATGGCTGCTGGTGAGTATGGAGTGCTGTTATACATTCATTGTGTGTTTGCGGCTGTTGAATGGAAGAAAATTGTACGGGATATTCTATTAAAATGTATAGAATGGAAGTTCAGTTAAATCGTAGGAGACAAAGGTGGACAAGTTAGAATATGAAGAAAGAAATTAACACTAACTGAGAAAATGATGAAGAAAGAAAGGTATAATTATCTCTTTTTTAGGTTATTCTTGAAAAGTGTGTATCTAAATTTTAAAAAAAAGGAATACCTTTACTTAAATAAGAAAGCGGCGTAGGCAACAAACTTGAAGAAAGGCAAGTTTTCTTTTCCATTAATGTGTGTATGTCTATTGTTTGATGAAGCATATTGTTTTTTTGTTGGTTCTTTGCTTTCTGGCAGAAAATTATTTGCCTCTCTTTACACTTTTTTTTTAACCCAGATACTTTCATATTTATGAAGAAACTTTTATACAAGGTGACCTGTGCAGCTCTACAATTTCTGTAAAATATTACGGTTCCGTAGACGCCTTGCTTGGTAAAAAAAAACTTGGGAAAAAGAAAAGGACTGTTCAAAATTAAGATAGTGGGAATTTAATAGTCACTCAGTTTACTTTGTCCCACCTTCTATACACTTTCACCTTACAAAGCATTTGCCATTCAAAGCTTGAATAAGAATATTATAAGCTTGTGGTTTTTTAAATGATGGTATGACCGTGAAAATGAAGTCTGTTCCCAAATTTTACGTATTGGGACAAAATCAGTACTTTTTCAGTGCATATGTTGAAGATGTTAGCTTTTTAGAAGTAGTAGCCGTTGCATTTCTTAGGATGTTTTTTACTGTGTGTGTTCTCCAGGTCTGGCTGGTGGAGCTCTGGTGGGCTACGGAGCGTCCCGCATGATGGGCGGAGGCTGGGGGATGGGTCACTGGGGCAGCTGGAGCTCTCTCAGCTCTATTGGAAGTTTTGGCAGTTGCGGAAGTTTTGGAAGCTTTGGGAGCTTTGGATAAAAAAAAAAAGATCAGCAGCAATATTGCCGTTTTTTTAATGACCACTACGTCATTTTCTCAAAGATGACAAAGTGGATTTCAAAATTGTGATTTTGTGTGTCTGCAGTTTTTTGGGTGTGAGATTTTGAACATTCTTGTAAGAATCTCATAATGTAATGTACTGAGTGCCAGCTTGATTCAGTGAAATGCACGTTATGATTTTTTTTAAAAATGTATATCTTTTCGCTATTATTTTACAACTGTTGTGGGTGACATTTGAAATCATATACTTTCTAAGCAGAAGCATCTGTATATATATCACTTGGACTTAACAAACATTGGCACCTTTTATGATAATTATTTCTGACTGTTCCTCTTAGTCTAAGAGACAGAAAATTTGGTTCAAATTCGAAGTTGATGTAGGCCTGCCCATCCTAAAATTCCTTTCTTAATTAAGGTATTTCTAGTTGATGGGATCTTTGGTGTGGTTTGCTCCTTCTATTCCCTTTTTTTTGTTTTGAGTGTTGCTATCTTACTGACCTGCCCGAAAAACGTCTTATCTGCCATAGAAGTGGTTCAAGTTTCACCAAAGGCCTATTCCTGTAGTAGACTCTTTGAAGTCAGTATTTTACAGGGATGTGTAGCTGGGAACATTTTTAGAAGATTGGGGTAGAATCATTCTTCTTTTCTTGTTCCTGTCTTGTGTCACAAGGGGGTTGTGTCGTCTGCTCTTCATTTCAGTACATGTATACTACTGTTTTCATTCTCTTTTTCTCTTGAGGTAGAATGCCCATGCTGATTCACCTTAATCTACAGTTCAACTGGAACCCTTGTGCTGTCGAGAGCTAATTACTTAACCCTATCCGTACGCCCTGGGGTAATTTTGTACCCCTCGGGTTGTATTCTTCACATTTTAGAATACTTCTTCTAGTACGGAGGTCTCTTTGAAACTCTCAGTATATCTAAAAAAATAATTTTGACAGACTGCTTTGCAAAGCGTACAGATCGGATTAACAAGTAAGTACGGATAGGGTTAAAGAAGTAATAGTTCTGCAATGTAAATTGAAGATGTCAATGTTTGTAGGGCCCCTCATTCTTCTTTTTAATATTCTCCAAAGAAAAAAAAATGTTGCAATAATGTGAATATACTGAAGTCAAGGTTTTTGGTCACAAGACTTTTCAGTTGAAATAAATGTTATCTGAATTGTTAATAAATGAATTGGTGTTCATGGAAAGCTTTTTATTCCTCTCTGGTTCTGATGTACCATAATATGCAGTTAAATTTCAAGTGTCACTCTGAGATTTTTGGCTGGTACTTTGTTATTTTCTGTCTGTGGAGAACTAATCCCTGACTTATTTATTGTTGACATCTCCGAGACAAAATTCTGTGTCTGAAGGAAGATTTTGTTTCTTTTGTTTATACATTTTTAGTCTTTTTTTGCTCGTTTTGTTTTTCAAAACAATAAATTGTGTTCTGTGTTCTACTAATTTTACACCTTTTAGATTTCTCTAATCTTAGATCATATAGAAAATCATAATACATGATTTGCTAGATATTTCTGTACCGTTTGTACCACCTTTTTCCTTCAACATTTAAGGGTCTGAGGCAGAGGTGAACATTGTCAAGTTTTTATTGTGTTTTGTTTTTTGTTGCAGCTTTTTTTTCTGTATTGGAAAAACTGGAAAAGCAATGTAAAACTTGGAAGTAAAAAAACAACTGATTATTCTTAATGAGCAAAATTAATAGATTTTACCCCCCAAAAAAGGGAAAAAAGCCAAAAATGTTTAAAACAAAAGTGAAAATCCACAAACAAAATCTTAAAGAAATATATATATATATATATATATATATATATATATATATATATATATATATATGTAAAAAAAATTAAATTCTGTATTTTTCCCTCTTACTCATTTAGAAAAGTGCATAATTGTCTTGTTAGGGAAAGCAATACAAGCTCTGACTGTTAATGAGCGCTACAGTTGTTGGTGGCTCATCTCTTGTCACTGTTGATTCCTCTCTCAATTTTTGCATGGCATAATGTGATTCTGATTCTGATTGGGGGAAGGTGGTCTTTTACATGCAGTTAGTACCCCTGTTTCCTGTCCTATTTTTAAAATTAGACAGTTTGAGTTTTCAAATTCATTTCTTGAAAATAGTACAACAGTTATGTCCAAATGGAGACATGTGCCAAAATCAGACTGGCGCATTCTTTAGGCAATGGCCTGCCAACAGGTCGTAAAATAGCATAATGGGCTGAAATATCTTAAGAACAGAAATCATGAAATAAAACAAGGATTAAATTTTTTTTTCTAAATTTACTCAAAATTGTGATAAATGACTATTGCTTTTATCATATATAGCAAGTTGAAGATTTGAGGCACTGGTTCTATGCAATTCTATCAGTTGTTTAGAATTTAGTCTGTTCTTTAAAAAAATAAAAAAATTCACTGCAGTTGTTTTAAAATGATATCAGTGTTACAGTACAGTTTTTGTAACATCTGACTGATACATGCTTTGTCTTTAATATCTTAGAGCTCTAATTTTTTAAAATACAGAAGCAAAAGCTGTCCTTAAGACATTTTGTTTCTATGGTGTTCTTTCCTCAAAGCTTTAGTTGGGAGGAAAGTGACTGAAAACTTTTTAAGTCTTCATGTAAGATTATGAATATTTGATGTTTTCCTGTTTATGTCAGTGAGAGAGAAGGCGCAATTGGTTCCTGAATTCTTGGTTTTAACACTGAGAAAGTCTGAGACAACAATTGGTGGAGCAAGTACTTTTTGTAATGTTCATAAGGAAGCCCTTTAGGGTTAAGCCTTTTCTGATTGTCATTTATCTGTCAGTTTCACATAATATTTTGTCATGTTTACATGCTGAAGTTTCTCAGTCCATTCTTGTACAACCCCCCAGGGCAGTGCCACTGACTGTAGTGTCTTCAGGCCATTCCCAAAGGGGGGACATTTCTCGTTCAAGCACAGTAGAATTGTAAATGGGCTGACTCGTGTCACGCTCATAACTGTGCCTGATCTACAACAGGGAACTGCTGCTTTTTCTTTCCTGATCCTTACTATTGTCATTTTCCTCTACTTTTTTTGTATGTTTGTCACTCTCTTGTAACCTGCTATTTTGGGGTGCCTTGATAGTCGAAGCAGACCTTGTGCTGTTGAAGCTAGAGAGGTGAGCAGTCTAAGTCTGATTCCCTGTAAAGAAGTCTGATTCCCTGTAAAGACTTCTCTGTTGACACCCACCCCTTTGCGCTCATATGACCGTATGCAGTTGCGAGCGCTGTATAACCCTCTACTATTAAAAAAATATATAAAAAGAGTTCACCTTTTATATTTGCTTCATGGAGATGCATAAAATCTCTACCTTTGTACAGATATACATCAGTAGGTTATTATACTTAAGTCACAGTAGTCAGCCAAAGTGTACAAGCAACAAGTTTAACTGTATTAGAAAGTCTCATTTTTTATCAAGAAATTAAATTATGTTTGGAAATTTGCCAATGTCTGAAGTATTTATCTATTTGTTTCACGAAAAGTTTGAAATCCGATGTAGCGTCTTTAATTTCTCCTTAATATTTTTGTTTCTCTTGCCATTATTTGTTTTTCTATGGATAGAGAAGCAGAAAAAGCCGCTGGGGATGGATACCTAACTGAATCTTGAATGAAATTTGTGAACTAGATGCTGCACACAAATCAAATTAAAGATTTCTGATATTCAAGAATTATTAGCAATGATAATTGTAGCACGACCAGTGTTGGAGCATTTTCCAAACTTTTGTTACAAAGCTACTATTTTGTATCTTGTAGCTGCTGCATTTTTTATCCTGCAGAGTATCGAGAGCATTTTCTCTTGTGAGTGTGGCAATATTTTGTACCTTTTTGAGAATGGGTCTTTGGTTTATTTCCTGTGTGTATGGCATAAGGCCTTTTTGCCTCCGGCAATAGTTTGAGAATGAGAGTCAATTTGTGAAATCACCGCCAGTGCGTTTTAGAAAAGTCACATGTTGTGTTGTCAGTTTCCTTTTATGGTGACTAGTGTTCTCAACAATTTTACCTTTCATTTCCTGTATGTGTAGCATTTGAGCACCTGCCATAATTGTCCTGCCGTTGGGTTGTTTTTGGGTTTTTTTCCCTTTTTTCTTTTTGCCCTGAACACCATGCCTTGTAAAATTTGTCTTCTTTGGAGTTTCAGTTTGTTTTGGACATTGTTAATGTTACATTATATTTTTTTTAAAAACCTGTAGTATCCTCCAAAGGGGGTCATACCAGGTTATACTTGAACATGCTATGCCTCAACGGTTTGCATTGAGTTGTGCACAAATTGTATGTAATAATAGCATGCATCATGATTGTTATAATGCCAAAGTGATATGGGCAATCTCAGTAATTTATAAAATTTTGAAGGCTAGCTTTTTAGACTTTAAAGGAAAAAGTCACTCATCATATGCTAAGTTGATTATCAATTGTCTCTACAAGTCCAAAGAGTTAAATGCCTCAAAATGACTTTGTTACATTAAGTATTAGGTCCGTGTTAATTTTTTTTAGGTCACACTAGATCAATGCAGGTATATGGTTGTTTTTTACTTCCTGATATTGAACTTTGTACTTAAATTAAGTCTCAACTCTTTTAAATATTTAATTAATTGCTTGTTACATATCTGTGCAGTAGTCAAGATTACGAATGATGAGCTGTTGTCACTATTCTGTATGTATGAGGGGATGGGTGCAGTTATTTTCTCTTTCAGGACTATAATGGTTGATTTAACTTCTATCATCAGATGCAAAATTGTGATCCTATACTCTGCAATGAGATCTGAGTTAAATGAATTTTATGGGCAAAAAGAGCACCCCTTTTAGTTAAGTATATAGATCTATATAATTATGTCTGTTAAAGATGTTTTAGGAAATTTGTTTCCAAAATGTTCGAGAAATATATTTGATTTTCCCGTGTGTCATGCACATATTGATACATGTTTTTATATGATGCCGGTGTATACAACAGCTCTCTTGGTGCAAGGCTTGTGATTATATACGTTATGCTCATTCTTTTTATTTACACCATGTTCTCCTCAGAAATAAACTGGATTTTGTGTTATCAGATCCTTTGCTTCTTTGGAAGTCTTTTTTTCTTTAAAAGAATATAGTGGGTGGTTGGCGGGTGCTCTCGTGTGGTTTGCTCCTTCTTTCCCATAAAACACCTATAATCCTTATCTCTCCTCCTCTTTTTTTGTGTGTGTTACTCTCTTGCAACACCTTTAATCTTCAGCACTTATATGACGTTATTGTGTTGCAAGTGCCGTAAAACTCTTACTGAAACTAAAACTAAAAGAATATTGTGGAATGACGTCCTAGTGTAGTCATGTTGCAGCTCAATCTTTCTGTGGTGAGCACATGGTTGGTTGGTTGGCACTTTTCTTGCATCTTCTACTTCTTTGAAGCGTTTCGTTTTCCTAATCTGTTACATCATGTTGTCATCATTGCCTTTCTCGCCCTGGATCAGGATATAGGCCACGAACAAATGCTCCCCACCTTTCCTTATCCTGGGTTAGCCGCTTGATGTTATTCCAAGTCTTCCTATTTTTCCGTTCTGTTACATGTAATCAACAATTCAGTAGATAAGTCATTTGGCTGCAAATAAATAGAGTAATTTGGCTTAAATATTTGTAATATAGTATATAGCCATGGATAGCCTTTTTCCCAGGGGTGTCAAGGATGAATGTAACGTAAAGGCGTGATTGTTTGTTGTTATTGATCCAGATCATGGCAACGTGGACTGGGGTGTCTGTGGACTGTCTGCTCACCCTGAGAAGAGGCCGTTCATTTTAAGGATAAGAGGGTACAAGGGGTTTTCATGAGACTGGAAAGACCTAACTGCCCTGTGAAAAAGAAGTCACAATTTTTTTTTTTTAATGGAGATATGACAAGTACTGAGGTCGCCATTTGTTTCAAAGATTCCCTTGGAATCCCAACCTCAAGACTGCGATGGCATTTTGATTTCTTTAGTTCTTCAACCTCAGAATCAGTCACCTTTACCTGTTCAAGAGCGAGTTGTTTAACTGGACACCAACTGTATAACTCAGGACTTAAAAATTCTAGTTCTTATTTCATAAGGAAACAAACTTTTCCAACCTTGCGGCCCATTTCAAAATGGACCTTCTGCTTGAAACTTGATGTTTATAGGCCTACTATTTATAACGGACATCTATCCCTTATTACCAAGCAAAAAAATGTACTAGTCAATTTGGGAGATTTTGGTGATAAATCTTCAGGGCAAAAGCATACTGTATAGGGATTAACTATTCTGTCATCTTACTATTATGCAACAGCAATGTAATCCAAATGTATGTTCTAGCTTTGTTTGAATTCTGGTATCGATTGAGTCCTAAACAAGAAAGTTATTCATTAACATTTCTTTGGACTAACATTTATTCTGGTCAGCTTGTATGTGACCCAGAGTCATATATTTATCAGTAAGAAAGAAGATACTATCACAAAGGAGGGAGTTGGGTTTTTTTAACCTACTGGTTCAAAGAAATGTAGCGAAGTGGAATGACTGCATTGTCATCAGTACAGTAACTTCCAATGTATAAAAGTGACAAACTCTAGAAAATAATATTTCACTATTTTTTAATAGATTTGTTTCACGTTCATACAATATTCACTTAAATTAGCTCGAACAGAAAAAAAAAAGACAAAAAAAAGACAAACCACAGCGAGCACTCACAAAACAAACTAACAAAAAACATGCAAGCATCCTCCTCCTCATCCTAAACTCTCATGTCTCTTTCGCACTTCCTCAAAGTAAAATGA